AGGCCGCCGAATGTCTGGACCTGGATCGCAAAAGGATCAGGCAGCCGAATGTCTGGGCATCGATCCGTTCAATTCTGTCGGCGGACGCCGCAGGCAGTCACGCAGGGCCAGGAGGGAACCAAGCAGGTCGCACCTCGGTGCGAGTCGTGGGATGACGCCGACCTCACACCTACACCGATTCTGGCCAGGCCCCTCCTGGGCCCAGGACAGGTGTACATGCCTTCCTGGTCAAGCCGGCTGAGCGTACTCACCGATCCTGGGCCCATGATGGCCCTGGCCAGGATCGGGGTACGATCGGCTGCACAAACATAAACTGTCGGAGGTCCGCGCGGAGCTACGAGAGCGTACATGTCTGTGCAGCTGCTGCATCTTCGGTGTGCGGCCAACGCTCCCCGAGGCCGAACCCCGCGCGAGGGAGGAGGCCCGGCAAACGCTGAGGCAGGAGGCTGTGCTCTCACTGTCCAGGGCCAAGGCCGGGCTAACGGCGATGTTGCTTACGGTGATGTTGGAAACCAAAATGTGGGAAATCACGAACCACATTTCCTACATTCTCAATCTGTGAATGGATCGAGCGGACACGACACAGCGAGTTGTAGGAGAGCGCGAGCCACGCGTTCCCACAATACCGAAACCTACATCGCCGTTACCTACATCGCCGTTAGCCAGTCTACGGCAGGGTCCAGGGTAACGGTCATCCCAGGAGGGGGGGGGATGGGGGGCGTCGGGGCCCGGGGCCGTGGTGACGCTCGGGCGGGGTGGGGCAGATCAGGGCGGGGGTGCGCTGCCAACGCCACAGTACGCGCGCGAGCACCAGCATGTGGTGGGGTGGGCAAGCTCCCCACGCCCCCACGTAGGATCGCTAGGCACCGTCACTGTAGGCCTCCCGATTGGGGTCCGAGCAGATGGAGTCGGAGGATCGCGCCGCATCGCCGATGCATCACCAACGTCGGCGACACATCGGCAGCGAGGGCGTGCGGAAAATCGGGCTCCACATCGAGCCGCATCGCGGATGCATCGGCGATGCGGCGTGATCCTCCGACCCCATCTACTCCGACCTGGTCTGGGAGGCCCAGATCGGCGGCGAGACCAAGAGGGAATTCAGACGGGGCGGGTCGTTTCAGAAGTCTCTGAAGGTCTCGGCCCTTCTGAGAAGTTGTCTAGGCTTTCTCCGAAGATACAGACAGTTTCTCACAAGAAGGCGCGAGGGCTCCTGAGAAGCCCAGCCGCCTTCTGAGAAGGACTGCCCCCTCTCACTTACCCCCCGTGCTCGCCGCCGATCTTGGGTCGCCCCCAGGGCGGCGGCAGACTCGTGCGTCTGCTCGTCCGTCGAGGGCCCAGGGTTTCCCCTCTCACTGACCCCCCCTGGTTCGCCGATGACAAAATGAGCGACAGGCGCGCCAAACGTGCTGACCTATACACGATCTAACGACCCATCGGTTCACTAGATAGACCTACATGTGTCTACGCATGTCGATCTACACGCTAACATAGCACAGGTCTACTTTCTCACGCGCACAAACACACGTAAACAAACACACACGCACACACACACAAACAAACAAACAAACAAACACGCACGCACGCACGAAGTCACGAACGCACACGCACGCACGCACGCACGCACGCACGCACGCACGCACGCACGCACGCACACACACACACACACACACAAGCAAACGAACAACAACAAACAAACAAACAAACAAACAAACAAACAAACAAACAACGTGCCCACAAGTATAATTTATGTCATATATCCATCATCGTTCCGCGATGCACCGAGTGAAATGTCCTCAACTCCTTGCGATGCCGCAATATAACGCCAACCAACCCAGACTCCAGAGCTCCGAGCACTCCTGGGCGATCTCTGGGGGCCCCGCGTGACCTTCCCACAAACTAATGTCAAAACCTGCTGACGTTTTCAGTGTTTTCGGCGGCCCCAAACGGGGGAACACGAACTAGCCTCGGAAGCCCTCGCGTGCCCTCGAGGCCCAACCGGACCGAGGCAGATGGGATGGGCCGAAGGCCACCAGATCCGCCGCCCCACTGGCCTGCCGAGTGGGCTTGCGGATACGGCCGTTCCAAGAGGTTCCCGGTGACCTCCGACCCAACCCGCCGCCATCCAAAACACCCGCTCCCAACGACTTTTCCGCCCAAGATCGGTTCAAGAGTATCCGCCCAAGATTCCAGACGCCCCTGATGGCCCAAGACGGCCAAAGAAGCTCCAGATACGGCCCAAGAGGGCTACAAGAGGGCTCCAAGAGGCCATCTGGGGTTGGAAGATGCTAAAATTGTAGATGTCCTGTATGCGTTTCAATGATTGTCGCGATCTCGCTAATTCATTGGCTTCGCACACCCCAAGATGGCCCCAAACGCCTCCAAGATTAGCCTGCAGACGGTCCAAGAGGCCCTAAGAGGGCTCCAAGATGGGCCGAGGGACCCCCAAGACGGTATCGAGAATGCCCCAACGCCAAGACAGCTCAGTCGGTCCCCAAGACAGGCCTAAAGCAGCCCAAAGGGGCTTCCAAGACGGCCCAGGAAGACCCCAAAGACGACATCTGAAGGCCCCAGACTGGCCAAGAGAGCTCAGACGGCCCAAGATCCCAGAGGTGCCCAAGACGCCCCAGGAGAGTCCGAACAGGCCCATCAGTGCCACCAAGAGGCTCCAGGAAGCCCCCAGGAGGCCCCCCACAGGCCTCCTCCTCCTCATCATTATCATCATCATCATCATCATCATCATCATCATCATCATCATCATCATCATCATCATCATCATCATCATCATCATCATCATCATCATCATCATCATCATCCTTCTTTCCCTCCTTCTCTCTCTCTCTCTCTCTCTCTCTTCTCCCTCCCTCCCCCCCTCCCTCCCTCCCTCCCTCCCTCCCTCCTGCCTCTCAATTCCCCTCCCTCTCTCTCTCTCTCTTCCTCCTCACTCACTCTCCATCTCTCTCTCTCCCTTCCTCACTCTGCTCTCTCCTCCCTCCTCCCTCCCTCTCCTCATTCTCCTCCTCCTCCTCCTCCCTCTCCCCTCCCCGCCTCTCTCTCTCTCTCTCTGTCTCTCTCTCTCTCTCTCTCTCTCTCCCTCGTTGTGGGGGGGGGGACGGGACGGCCCAGACATCAGCTTCAGAAGCGCCATCGTGGCCCAGCGCTGGACTGCACGCCGGTGGCGTCGGAGCCCACTCCCCCCGCCCTCCCCTGTGCTCCGGCGCCGTGCCCTTCTCCGCGGCGAGACCCCACCCCTGGGCGAGGGGCGTGGCCTCCCGGGCCGCGCCTGCGGGCCCGGGAGCGCCCACGGGCGGCACCCGCAGGAGGGCCGACGGCACACGGGAGAGCGGCAGGGCGGCAGAGCAGGGCGCCAGGCGCCCGGCAGAGAGCGCGGCCAGCAGCCGCAGCGGCGGGCGGCGAGCGAAGACGGGGGGAAGAGGCACCGGCGGCGCACGCCAGGGGGACGGGCGGGGGGGAGGGGGAGGGGGGCGCTTCTCGGAAGGCGCCGGCCTTGCGTCTTCCGAGGGGGCCCGCGCCTTCTGAGAAGCAGGCTCCTTCGAGGAAGCCTTCCCCCTCCCCCCTGCCCCCCTCTCCGCGTGGCGGACTGGAGAGACTCGGCCCGCGGAGACGCCCAGAGACCTCGGCCCTCGATCGGAGGCCCCTCGAGCCTCGCTCCTCGAAGCCGAGCCCCACTCAAAGCATTGTCAGCGCAATGGCTCCTGGGAGAAAGCGAACTCCAAGACCTTCTGGGGGGCATCCAGGAGTGGGATAATACTTGGCTGCGCGCGCAGGGAGAGAGTAAGACTGTTCGGGCAACCGCAGACTGATTGCTGGGCAACCTCAGTCTGATTGCTGGGCTGCGCGTGCCCGAAGGCAGCCGAGCAGACCGACCGGAGAGAAGCGCGGAGGAGGCAGGCAGGCGAGCGACACGGGGCCGCGAAGCGCAGCGCGGGGCGCAGGACAGAGCGCCGCGCCCGCCGTGACCCTCTGCACCCGGCCCGACGCCGCCAGGCCCGCGCCTCTCCCCCATCGGGGCGTTCTGACCCCCGCCGCCGGGCCCGCGAGCGCGCCCGGCCAGGGCCACGAAGCGAATCCAGCCACGGCGGCGAGGCCGCGCCCCCCCCCTCCTCCCCCTGGGACCTGGGGTGCCAAGAGGCGAGAGGTGCCCCGGGGAAACCACAAGCCGCCCCCTCGGACGGCGGACGGGAGCGGCCCGCCCCCTCCAGCGGCCTTGCTTCTCGCGCCTCCTGCAGCTGGCACGGCGAGAAGGTCGGGTTCCAGAGGGGCGGTTTCGACGGCTGCTGGGGCGCCTCATGTCGAGCTTCGGGGGCGCTCAGGCTGAGCTTCGGGGAAACCAAAAGGTACCGATACCGCTGCTCCCCAGACCTCTTCCGGGGTGCGGTCTGACCAGGATTAGGGAGTCCACAAAGGACGTACGCGCCCAGCTATGTACATGAACACGGCCCCTTGGCCCGCGAGACCTACCGCGCGATACGAACATTCGCTCAATGCGAACTCTCGAAACCAGCGTGGATTCATGTACATGTACGTCCTTCTCCCGCTCCTGAAGGATTTCGAGGCGAAAATGAAGGAAGGGTCGTGGTATGGTACCTGTTCCTTCTCCGATCACTACCCTTCCCAAGCACGGGGCCAGAGCAGACCGGGCCAGGCGATCGACCCGCATCCCCGACGCATCGCCGACACGGAGCACATCGGGCTCTGGGTCGCGCCGCATCGCCCATGCATCGGCGACGCGGCTCGACCCGACGACCCCACCCCACCCGCTCTGGCATCGTTGTTGGGAGGCATGGACTCTCCTCCAACTCCTCCGCCCAGGTGGCGGCTTCCGAACCCTACCCCCACCAAACCTCGATTCTCCTGAAACCACTCGCCGCCGCTCTCCTCCACCCTGCTCCACCGCCCCCCTCCCACCCGCTGCCCTCCCGCTGCCCACCCGCGCCCTCCCGCTGCCCTCCCGCGACGGGCGCGGGCGCCTGCGACGCTGGAGCCGAGGCCGCCGCTGTCGCGGTGCCGGTCGCCGCTGTCGCGGTGCTGGCCGCCTTCCCGCCGCCGAGCCTCTCTGCTCCGCCTCCGCCTCCGGCCGCCCTCCTACGCGGCCTCCCAACGCCTCTGAAAGAACATCGGACTCCACATCGAGCCGAATCACTGATACATCGGCGATGCGGCGCGATTCTGCGACCCTTACTCGGAACCCATGTGGGAGGCCTGCATGTGCGGCGCCTCCTTCCGCCTCAGGCTGCCCTCTTGTCCCTGCTGTACACGGCAGGTCCGTGTCGTGAAGAGCTGGGCGTTGGCCTCTGCCACCGCGTAGGTCGTTAGACCTTGAGCGATCGCGGCTTCCAGGCAGCGCTGGTAACCGGCTTCGGGTTTCGCACAGACGGCCGCCCTGGGTAGTCCCCGCTGGCCTCAACAGGCCCCCCGAATACTTACGCAGGACGAAAGATATTCCTCCTGAGGTGAAAATGGCGATGAGGAGATCGCGAGAGAACATCGGCGCCGCCGAACGGACGGCGTCTGGACGAGCTGCGTGCAACAACCGGGAGGAGAGAGATGTATCCGTGTTGAGCGGGACCCGCGCTCGCAGAAAGTTGATGGGGCAGGGTCCATCATGGAAGGTTGATGACCGAACCTCCCTTTCCCCGTAGAATATAAACACGGGCGGGTTCTGGGGTCCGCGAATCCGATGTCGTCCGCTTCCCCGTTCTAATGTGATAAGATTGGACGCGGATCCAGAAAATCCGAAATCGGATCCGCGCGGACGGAAACCAGATCCACCGAAACAGCAACCAAAACCAAAATTGGATCCGCGCGAACTTCGTTGGATCCCACAGCGGTTCTCTCACGCGCGTCTGCTCAAGACTTCACACCGTCGTTCCGGGCCAAGAGGAAGACACTTTCGTCCTGGGGATGTAGTCCCAGCTGGCCTCATCGGGCCCCCCGACGTAGTCTGGGGCGGTCTCAACACCCTGGCGCCGCCTCGGGCGCCGCCCATGGGGCGCTCCGCGCCCCAGTGCGCCCAGGGTTGGGGTGTTGAGACCGCGCCAGATTACTCGGGGAGCCTGTTGAGGCCAGCCAGGCAGCTGGGACTGCTCGAAGGGCCCGTTGAGGCTAGCCAGGACTACCTGGGGGGGCGGATCGCAACCCGAAACCTGTCCAGACAGCGCAGACCGTTCGATGCCAGCCGACTCTAGGCCACTGGCGACGCTCAATCTTGAACATCCGCGCAGAGGTCGCTGCCGTGCCGACATGGCACGAACCTACCGTGCTGCTGCTGCTGCTGCTGCTGCTGCTGCTGCGAATGCACATCGGGCGTAGCTCCGTGCACACTGCGACGGCTAACTGGTGCAGGGTTTGGCCGGCCTAATCCTCCTCCTCCGATTCGGAAACGTCGTCGGCGTCACTGTCGCCGTCGTCGTCCTCCTCCTGCTCCTCCTGCTCCTCCTCCTCCTGCTCCTCCTCCTCTTCCTCCTCCTCCTCCTCCTCTCCTCCTCCTCCTCCCCCTCCTCCTCCTCCTCCTCGTCCTCCACTCCTCCTCCTCTCTCCTCCTCCTCCTCCCTCCTCCTCCTCCTCCTCCTCCTCCTCCTCCTCCTCCTCCTCCTCCCTCCTCCTCCTCCTCCTCCTCTCCTCCTCCTCCTCCTCCTCCTCCTCCTCCTCCTCCTCCTCCTCCTCCTCCTCCTCCTCCTCCTCCTCCTCCTCCTCCTCCTCCTCCTCCTCCTCCTCCTCCTCCTCCTCCTCCTCCTCCTCCTCCTCCTATCTCTCTCTCTCTCTCTTCTCTTCTCTCTCTCTCTCTCTCTCTCTCTTTCCTCGTCCCATCCCCCCCATCCCACATCCCCCCTTCCCTCACTCCCCGAACCATCGAGGCTCGCGATGCCATCCTCCCTCCTCCGCCGTCCGTCTTGTCCACAGCCGCCCCCGCTCTCATGCACCCCTCGCACCCCTGTTCTGTCTGCGCCCGCCGCCCTCATTGCCAGTCGCCTTCCAACCATCAACGGGTTGTGCTTGAGGCTGCGCCGCAGGTGGCACAACCCACGGGTTGCGCCGCAGGTTGCCCTGTGGAGTGCTTGCGCCAGAAATGGCGTCCTCGGCATGCGCCCGCGGCGCCGACAGCAAGGCAGTCTGGCATTCATCCTGCGTCCTCCTCTTCCCCCTCCCCCTCGGAGGATGCGGAAGAGCAGGCCCCCTCGCCCGCCGTGAACTCTTGGATCGACACGACCTCGTCGGACATGTCCTGGTTGTTGATGTTGGTGCAGTCGGCCGACGGGTCCGTGACGCACCTGAACGCGCGACGCGCGGCCGCCTGCTTTGGAGACTGCCCCATCGAACCCCCCTCACTGCCAATGCGCCGATACCCGTCCAAGAGGAAAAACGATCGGGGGGGACTGGCATAGGGACGAAACGTCGGCCTGGAATCCGCGACGCATCGCCGATAGATCAGCGATAGGCCCACGACAGCAAATCTGCAGTTTCCTGGGCGGGGTGGGCTATCGGATCCCCGCTGGCGATGACTGGGCGATTGAGGGTCGATGCATCCTCCCCTGAGCCTATCCCTCCCCCTACCCACAAGCCCCTGGGCCCACCATGCACAACTTCTTTGGTCGTAGGCGAGCCGCCGCCGTGTGCTAAGGCCCGCGGCGGGCGGCCCGGGCGTCCGGTGACCGTGGCCCGAGCGCTGGCCCTCGGAGCGCGCCCTCCGCCCGGGGCCACAGACTGCCGCGCGCGCCTCTCGTGAGAGGTCGGCGAAGGGGTGGGGTGCCTCCAGGAGGGCCCTTTGCTTCGCCGCGGCTGGGACGCACAAGGACACACTCGCAGCGTATATATATATATATATATATATATATGTGTATATATATATATATATATCTCCTTCAAGGAGGCGTGCGTCCGACCCGACCATGTAGTGTAACAGTGTTGTAGTGTAGCGCTTCCCGAGCGGTCGGGCCACGAAGCGCCCGCCACGAAGCGTACACAATAGAATATCTCTCGGCGGGCGCGTCACCCCTGAAGGGCGCCGCACACGCAGTGTTCGTATGTTGGCTCGCCGCCGGCATTTCCTGCCTTTCTCGGCCGTCGCTTGCAGTCTCCACTGCCGGCGTCGGACTCTCTCCGCCTCAGTCCGCTACCGTGCACTGTGCTCAGCGGGACCGGGTGTCTCTACCACTCGCCCCTTCAAGCAACACACCGCTCGGGGCGCCCCACCGCTCTGTGCTCACACACCTGCCTCAACTGGCATTTCAAGCCCAACACGCCGGAAATGCTGGTCAGGGGCCCCGCGGTCTTCCGACAGGTCATGAACTCCCCACCCGCCCTCCTCGTCCCTCCTGCCCCCACCCCTGACTCCTCCCTCCCAGGACACCTCTGGGTCCCCCTGGAATGTCCCGAAGGTCTCCGGTCCTCCAGCGGCCGCCAACGGCCTCCGGAGCAAGAGGGGACAGAAACGATCAAAACCTATGATCCTCGATCCTCGAACCTCCCCCGTCGATCCCCGATCCTCCTCTCCCCTCCCCCTCCTCGCCACACACATCTTCGGGAGGTGACAAGACATCACAACGAACCACTGGCCCTGGGCGCTCTCAAGTCAAACCAAGAAGCATTATCCTCCTCCTGCCCATATTCCTCCTCGATCCCTGTTCCTAAAATCTATTGGCCAGCGTGGACCCCAAACAACGGTTTCTTGCAATCTACGCGGTGCAATCCGCCACCGTGTCCCCAGGCAAGTTGAGGCGTAGAAGAATGCCAAGGTTTGTGTGGCAGGGTTATTTGAATTATCATGGAAAGGACCGCCCCGCCTCTACGCGCAAACTCTTCCATACGTCCCCCCGATTCACCGAGGCCGCGTATCTCGTGCCCGCTCGAGGATGGTGCGCTTTCAACATGGCGGCTACTGCCAAACAAATCCATGTGACGCGTGCCCGCTGAAACACTGTGCACTCCTTGCATGGCAGCTAATGTCTCACCCCCCTTCCACGCGAGCCCGCTCGAGGATGGTGCACTTCCCGCACTCCTAAGCGCCCCAGGGCCTCCAACGCCACGATTCTTGTGTAAAAACGGTGGATGTTCGTCCCGAGCTTGCAACCAAAAACACCAAGATAGCCTATGATGCCTCGAACACGGCCCAAGATGGCCCTAAGGCGAACGAATATTGGCCCAAAACGGCCAGATTCCGCCAAGAGGGCCCAACATGGCCACAAGAAGACCTCCCACAGAATCCGAAGAAACCAGCATCATGGATGTCCCTGAAGTATGTAATGATTTTAGTGTTCTTGCCTTGTCGGGCTTCCGTCAGCTCAAGACGGCCCAAGAGGACTCCAAGATGGCCGAAGAGGCATCGAACACATGGCCCCAAGATGGCCCCAGAAGGCTTGGCGTGGGACCCAAGACGGCCTTAGAAGGGCTTCGACAGCCCAAAACGGCGCCAAGACAGCCCCACGACGGCCCCCAAACACCCACCATATGACCAAAACGGCCCCGAGACGGTCCAAGAGAGCCCCAAGCAGCCGCAAGAGGACCCCATGACGGCCCAAGAGGGCCCCAGGGGACTCCCTTAAAACTGTTTCAGAATAGGCCAAGACAACCCCAACACTGCCCGAATGAGTTTCATCATCATCATCATCATCATCATCATCATCATCATCATCATCATCATCATCATCATCATCATCATCATCATCATCATCATCATCATAATCATCGTCATCATCATCATCATCATCATCAACATCATCATCATCATCATCATCATCATCATCATCATCATCAACATCATCATCATCATCATCAGCATCATCATCATCATCATCATCATCATCATCATCATCATCATGATCATCATCATCATCAGCATCATCATCAACATCATCATCACGACCAACAACTTCATCACCGTCACGATCGGCAGCATCATTATCATCATCGTCCTCATCATCAGCAGCAGCATCATCCGCATTAATCATCATCAGCATCATCATGTTCATCATCATCATCAACATCATTTTCACCACCACCCTCATCAACATCATCATCAGCAGCAGCATCATAATCAGCAGCATCATCATTATTATCTGCATCAGCATCATCGTCATAATCAACATCATCATGACCAACGTGATCGGCCACGTCCCCGTCGTCGTCATCATCACCACCACCACCATCACCACCAGCACCGCCACCACAGCCACCACCAGCACCGCCACCAGCACCAGCACCATCACCATCACCATCACCATCATCATCTTCAGCATCATCATCAGCAGCAGCATCTGCACCATCATCATCATCATCATCATCAAAATCATCAGCATCAGCATCCGCATCAGCATCAGCATCATCACCATCATCACCATCATCATCATCAGCATCATCATCATCATCATCATCAGCATCATCATCATCATCATCATCATCATCTGCGCATTTGAGGCGCAAGCACGGCAGGAAAATGACTGCTCGTAGTTTCTGCATTGGATCAGTGTGCCAAGCCTGTGGTGTAGATTACCACACCCGCCCTAGGGCGTTGCACCACTTACAATTCTCTTCCAAAGAGTGTCGCGCCGCGATGCTCGCGGGAGAGCTGCCCGAGTGTAGCGCGGAGATACCCGCCGCGGATTTGCGCGACCGCATCGCGCAGAAGGCCGCTAACCTTCGCGGCGACACCCCGGCGCGCGCACTAGCCCCGCCCTCGCGCGGCCCGGGCGCACGCAAGCGTGGAAATGGCCCGCGGGACCCCTCCGGACACCAGCGCCCAGCGAAGGTCGGACGACACAGGTAGAACACGACTCATATCGAGACGATTTCGTGTCAGCATCCGTGATGACAGGGAATCCCTTTCTCCTGGTGTGAGTGTTTCTCCCCTTTGAGCAGAGGCACTACGCCTCGTGCTGCTGGGGCTTTTCTCGACACAGCAGCAGTCACTGAAGAGCTCCAGGCACCGCCTATAGCCAGCGCAAGTCAAGTCAAGTCATCATCATCATCATCATCATCATCATCATCATCATCATCCCCCCGGGCTTCGTTTTCCAGCCAGACGGCGTAGCACGAGTCGACGACCGCTGCGAAACGGAGCGAGCGAGGCCAGACCATTCGGGAGCCGAGCACGCACACCTCCCCTTCAAAAGCAACTAACAAGGAAGAAACTATAAAATGAATGAAAAACAGGGCGGCGGTTGGGGTAGATGGGGGTGAAGCTAGAGCCAAGATGGGACGGAAGACGCAAGGATGCTGCCACGGCTGTCCCACTCCGCTCTCAAGGATTTCCGCACAAGTACAAGGCATCCCCCCGGGCTTCGTTTCCCAGCCAGACGGCGTAGCACGAGTCGACGACCTTTGCGAAACGGAGCGAGCGAGGCCAGACCATTCGGGAGCCGAGCACGCACACCTCCCAAACCTGTCGGACTTCCAGGCCAACCCGATCAGCAATCTGGCCCCGACGGGGCCGCAAACACCATCTTGTTGAACAACTCGGCCTTAGACGAGGCCCACGCATTGTAGTAGATAGATGCCAGGGCTTTACAGAGACCAGGAGGATAAGGCTCGGCGATCTTGGACCAGAATACACCCTTGTTGTTTTTCCCTTGGATGGGGTTGCGAGGCAGGCCGGAGCGTTTGCACAGGCCACGTTTGGCACCGAGACAGCGAGCTTCGGCGAGGGCGTCCATGCACAGACCCGTGCTGAGGAAGCCTGTCGACTTTCTCCACTGGGCACCCCACATGCAGAAATCGGTGACAGTGAAATTGATCTTGCTCGATTTCTGAAGTCTCTGCATGGCGGGGCAAATCCAGATGCGGCTCCGAGCGGGGTTCTCCAGAGTAGCTGGTATTCCCAAAAGCATAGTATCCCGCATCACCGCAACGGAGAAGAACATTAACAGGTTGCCGACGCGAACCTCGTCGGCGTCGGCGGGGCTCAGGTCGTCGAGGCCCATGGGTGACGAGTTTGACCTTAACGGAGGGGGGCCTGGGGGCACATCACGAGCCCGCGAAAACGAGGAGCAGGGCGTTCCCAAGTGGACGCCGATCACGTTGCCTGAGCGGATCCAACCTCTGATGAGGCTGCGGTTCCGAGCCAGTCGCAGATCGTAGTCGGCACCCAGCTCCACGTCCCAGAGAAGAACGTTCACGCCCTCTTTTGCGACTGCTTGGCCGAGCCGGCCTGACCCCGAGAAGACCTCGAGGAAGAAGCGGACCTGAGGCCGGGGGCCGCCGGACAAGGCCGGCCGCGGACGATGGAGGCCATCGAGCGCTCGCAGGACAGCGCGTGGGCGCGGAGGTCCTCGGGCAGCTCGAGTAGCACCTGGCCGATGCGGCTGCCCTTCTCGTAGCGCCTGACCGAAGCCCACGACCGCCGGCGCCCGCGGCGCCTCACGTCCTCCAGGCTCCTGAAGCCCCCGGCGGAGTCGTGCGAGGCGCCGCCGTGCCTGAGCTGGCACAGGTGGACGTCGCCGAGGTACACGTCCAGCTTGAGGCTCCGCACGACGCCGCTCACCGCCGTCACCAGGTCCTTCAGGGCGAAGCCGAAGATCGGCGAGCGCGGGCTTTGGCCCTGACAGAGGGCCTTGAGCGCCGGGCCGAGAGGGGCATGCCGCTCCAGATCCAGGCGCATGGACTCGTCGAACTCGTTCGTCTTTGACGACCTCCCGACCTCCCGCGCGCGCAGCGTGATGGCCCAACAGGGGGCACTTGCCACGCCCGGCACTGGGGGCATGAGGTCCACCCCCCTCACATTGAAGATCTCGCCTGGCCGAAGGTACAGCTCGAAGATCAGGATGATCGCGACCGCGCAGGGCAGCTTCCCCGATCTGACCAGCTCGTTGGCGATCAGGGCGACTACCTCGCGCGGCAGCGGTAGCCGCGACTGGGGAGGGCAGCAGCGCCTGAACCCCTGGAGGGCCCTCCGGCTCCTGGGCATGAGGGCCCCCGCGGACTTCTGGAGGCCCGTGAAGAACGTCACCGCCGCGAAGCCCCACTGGGCCGACCCCAGGTTCTCGCCGTTCAGGTACAGCGCGCCCAGCCACCCCACGAGCTGCCGGCGCGACGGGCCGGGGCCCCGTGCTGACGTAGAGAGGCTCGCCGTCATGGCCCCTCGGGTGGCCCCCCGTCTGTCCAGCGGCGAGGCCAGCGAGGCCGCAGGCGCCGCCGGCGGCGCCATCCGAGCGCCGGTCGAGGTCGGCGCGGGTCTGGCCCGCGGGAGCATGTTTGGAGAAATCGAGCGGGCTCGGAGCAGCTGGAGCCCAGAGGCCACGGGAAGGAGAGTCCGCGACGTTCCACTCCGAGGACAACCACCGATAGTGCAAGGCCGAACCGGTAGCGAGCGAGAGGGCCGCGATCGCCTGGGTGACCCGCATCATGCTTCGGCTGTCGCTCCGAAACCGAGTCACCGCCCCGGCCGTCGACTGCGAGTCCCCCAGGACCACCACGTGCTTCCCGAGGTTCCGAGACCAACGAAGAAGATGGCGAAACCCGTACAACGTGGCCCTGGCCTCGTAGACGGCGATACTCTCCCCCTTGCGCCTCCACGGGAAGCGACCGACGACGGACCACCGCAGCTCGATCATCTCCCGCGGGACCTCTGGGAAGTCCACGACCCGCTTGACCCGACCGAACCCGAAGACGTCTCCGGGGCTGTCCAGGACACCTGAGCCAGCCGACGGGGGCTGGGGGGGAGCGCACTCGGGCCCTGGGACGTCGTTGGCGGCGGCGATCCAGGGGGCAGCCTCGCGGGCCTCCCCCGCCAGGGCCGCCGCCGCCTCGGCCTTTCGAGCGTGGTCCAGCGCGTGGCGACGAGGTCCCATGGCAGCGCCGACCCGACCCCAGCGCCAACGCTCCGAGGTCCGGCCGACGCTCCGGGCAAGAGAGCCCCCACACTGTGCGGCGCACGCCCCCAGCCCCCACTCACTAGCATCGACGGCCACCACCTCGTCGCTCCAGCCCGCCCGTAGGTCCCGCCAGAGGAGAGGTGCAAGCCCATCCCAGAGTGAGAGCTCGCGACGTACCGAAGCCCACAGACGCTCCTCCTGGGTGTAATTCTTCCTGACGAAGGCATAGCACGACCAGAACAGCGATAACCCCTCCCGGCGGACCAGGGAGAGGAAGACGAGATGCCCCAGGAGCCGCTCCAGGTCACGCCCAGAGCACCGCCCCCTCCGGAGGACCGCCCGAATAGCCAGGCGGGCCCTCCAGAGGCGGAGAGGGGTGGCAGCCGCGCGGCCCCGGGACCCGTCGATCTGCCACCCCGAAACCTGGGCCACCTTGTCCCCCCCAGAATACTCCTCCTCATGTACGACGAGTCCCCGCCCTTCAAGAGCACGAATAGCATCGGCAACGAGAGAGCGAACAGCACTGGCGTCAGTAGACACGGCGATGAAGTTGTCCACATACTGCGAATGGCACGCGCGATGAAGGTCCGGCGTCGCCTGCTTATCTACAATGCGGTTCTCGGGGGAAGCTCCGGCTTGTTCCACAATACGTTCATGGACCGTTTGACACATCCACAGGGCCCAGCTCCAGCCCATCGGTATCACAGACAGTCGAGGGTAGACCATGGCTGACGGAGGAACGGCTTGCCCATTGACACTAGCACACCCCACCGCCCCCGCCCGCACGGCCCTGAAACAGAAAAACGGCCTCAAATCGGGAGGCAACTGCATATGATAAAAAGCGTCAGACAAATCGGCCCCGCCAACATGCAACTCCTCTCCCTCGCCGAGCTCCAGCCCAGCCAGGCCTTCGCCGGTGAGGAGGGAAACGGGGGCGGGGTCCTGGAAATGACAGTTGCTTCTACGACAGTCCACTACCAGCCGGAGCTTCCCATTTTTCTCGTGCACGAAAAAAGCTTCAACCCTTTCCTTGGCCGAGAAGCTGAAATCTACCATGCCACGCTGCTGCAGTGCACGGATGAACTCCTCAAAGGCCGCGACCCGACGCAGCTTCGGATCACTATATGGCACCGCCACCTGAGAATTTTTCAAACGAGTTTCTACCTCACTAGACGGTAGCAATCGGCTTTGGACGAAGTCCCTAATCATGTCCGACCCGCCCACGCCCCACAGATCCTCGAGCGGCACCGGCGCGGGCGAGCCAGAGGGGAGCGAGACGCTAGCGAGGTTATAGGAACCGAGCACGGCAGAATCCACATCATACCAGCTCGCCACGCGAAGCTTCCGAAGAGCTTCTGCGGGAGTGACCTCCGGCGGAGGCGGGCCGAGAGCAACGACGGAGTCCCGAACTCTATCGTGACAGTGGCGCTGGCCCAGCGAAACAAAAACTGCACGGTCGGCGCCCTCGCCGACGGGGGGCTGGTCCTGGTGAAGATAGAGCGAGTTCAAGGCGTGGACGGCACGGTCACAGTCCATCTCAAAACTCTCGCGCTTCCCCAGACGCTGTCGGACGGCACGGGAGAGCCCCCCGTCGGTACCCCGATACCGCTCCACCGCCGGCCGCGGCAGCGGCAAGATGTCGCGAGGCACCGCACGGGAGGGCTCGTCCCCGTAATTAAAAGCTTCGTAGGGCGGCGGCACACGGGGCCCACGCGCCTCCCGGACGCCGGGAGCGCGAGGCGCAGAAGTGTGCATGAGGGGGAGAAGCCCGGAGGACAGGAGGAGGAGGGCGAACAGAGAACAAGGGGCCGGCACTGCACCCTCAGAGCAGCGCGAGCCAACCTCAGATGTGGGAGTCGGCGGAGGCTCACGACTTGTCGTCCCCGCCCTTCTTGCGGGCTGCGTCTCGCTCCTTGCGGCCTTTCCGCAGGGCCGTGTTGAGCTGCGCCTCCCGCTCCACGTCGACAAGAACCACGTTCAGGAGCTCTGGGCCAATCATCAGCTGCCCCGAGCCCCGGCTGGGCCCCGGGAACGCGTGCTGCTCCTCGACGCTGAGACGCCCACCGTATCCTCTTAACGCGGCCTCCTTAGCCCACTCCAGGTGGGCGACCTCAATGGTTTGCATCCTCTTCAGCAGCATCTTCACGATGACGAGGTTCGTGCCGTCGAGCTGGACGCCGAGGATGCCGGCCTCGTCCGCCGCCGTGAGGTGGAGGAGCTCGGCCGTCTCCCAGGCGTTGGGCACCAGGCGACACAGCGATCGAATCCGATCGTGGTGAACTCCCAAACCGTTGCCCTCCGAGTTGATGTGCTCCAGGCTCCACCCGGCCGCTCGGTCGCCACCGAGCGACCAGTCCTTGTCGAAATCCTCCTTCGTCGCAGCGGCAAACATGTCCGCCCACGTTCGCCCCCGTCGCCCCAGCCCGTTGCGGCGCACCGGCAGGATGCGGGCGTCGACGGCCACGATGCGGGCGAAGAACTCCTGTTCGTCGCTCGGCCGTAAGAACTGCCCGAAGAAGCCAGAGCCGCCCGCCAGCTGGTGGATGTCCTTGTCCCCGATGGCGCCTGCTCCGGCCTGGTGCGGCACGTCGTCCCCGTCGCGGAAGCCGTCGAAGCACTCGTCGGCGACCCAGCTGGCAGCCCCACGGCCGTCGGCCGCACCAACAGCCACAACCCCCTCGGGCACCGCCGCGGCGAAGAAGGCGGCCCGCTGCGCCACCGTCGGCCCCGCCCAGAAGCGGTAGACGTCCCCGGGAGGGATGCCGTCCGGCAGCACGTTGAGAGCCGTTGCCCACCTCACGGCCGCGACGTCGGCTGACCCGGCACTGTAGACCTCCGCGTGCCCGTGCCGGTCGGGAGTGCCGATGACGGAGAGGCTACCTACCGATAATGCCACCTGCCCGAGCACCAGCCTCTGATGACAGACCTGCCGTGGGCCGCCCCTGATGTACGGCATGTACGCCCACGTCGCCATCCCTCACCGGGGCAGGCCCTCGCTCCACGTAGTCCTGGATGGCCGCCCGCCTGCGCCTGCCGCGGCACCGAGCAGCCTGCCAAGCGCTCAGCAGCGCAGCGGCCGTCGCAAGCCCGAAGCCCACGCCGCACACGAACCAGAACAGCCAGCGGCTGGGCGCCGCGCGAAGTAGTTCACCAAGCCCTGCGCGGCGTACTCTCCCCCGCGCTGCACCGCCCACTCGAACATGGGGGGTCCGCCGCGGGAGCCGCGCCTTTGAAGCTAGAGCCAAGATAGGACGGAAGACGCAAGGATGCTGCCACGGCTGTCCCACTCCGCTCTCAAGGATTTCCGTACAAGTACAAGGCATCATCATCATCATCATCATCATCATCATCATCATCATCATCATCATCATCATCATCATCATCATCATCATCATCATCATCATCATCATCATCATCATCATCATCATCAGCATCAGCATCAGCATCAGCATCAGCATCAGCATCAGCATCAGCATCAGCATCAGCATCAGCAGCATCATCGTGATCGTCATCGTCATCGTCATCGTCAACGTACTCGTCGACACCGTCGTCATCGTCGTCATCATCATCAACAACATCAACATCATGGTCATCCTCATCCTTCTCCTCATCATCGTCATCATTCCCGCCACCCTCATAGTCCTCATCACCCCCATCGCCGCATCACGGCTCCCCCAAGCCTGGAGACACGAGGTGCCACGCTTGACGGCCTCCCGTGCACCTCCAACAGTCACCACATAAGCTGGCACGGTGGCGGGACTCGCCGCAGGCAGCTCGATTCTTTTAGGCACCTATGACGGGGGAACTCGGAGGGAGGGTGTATTGCAACAGCCTTGATGCACCACCGCCATCATCTCCACCACCATCACCGTCACCATCATCAGCATCATCACCACCAGCATCACCACCAGCATCATCATCGTCAGCATCATCATCATCAGCAGCATCATCATCAGCATCATCGGCATCATCATGTTCATTGCCATCAGCCCCATCATCATCATAATGCCAATCATCAGCACCACCATCACCATCATCATCTTCAGAATCCCCATCATCAGCATCACCATCACCATAATCAGCATCAGCATCCTCATCATCAGTATCATCATTCAGGTTATTCTAAGCCTGAAGCACGAATGGTCACACGTGACATCTTCCCGTGCCCCGGTCGAACAACTGCCACCTAGAATGCTGGGCTGGCTCGGTGGCGGGACCTGCCGCAGGCAGCTAGTTTGAAGAACTTGGAGTTGTCAACTCCACTGCTCGAGCAAGCATCCCACCCTCCCCTCCGCAACTTGGTTTGCAGAAGCCATGCGGCGGCGATTGCGAAGACTGCTTGGTCATGGCTGGCGCATCTCTGTAGCCGCGCTGGCCCGCGGGAGCTCGCGCACAGAACGGCCAGCTGGTTTGGCACAACCGATGCGGCCGTGATGGCGCTCACAGATGGCAATTTCCTAGCGCGCGTCAAGGGCCGCGCTGGCGCGCGGACACTTCAATGCGGATCGGTGGCTCGGCCGGGCGCGGTATCATGATGACGTCGACAGGAGCGCCAACGATGCGACGGTGGTGGCGATGATGGCATGACGACGGCAAGGCCAATGACGGCGCAGACTCCGGCAACGCACATAACGATGATAATACCGATGTGTCGCTCATGAGATGCTGGTAGATTCCGACATGCGCGCGTCGCAAGCATTTTATGAGTAGGTAAAAATCCCCCCGCCCAGTACCCATCGGTCAGAAATAGGCAGGCGTTAAAAATAGGTTGGATTCTATCCGCCCACTAGGGAGGACTGAAAAGGTGAAGCTACTCGATCATTGAAGTAGGAAGGCTTAAGTAGATTTGAATCTAGGCGTCCAAAAATACCAACTTTCAACGACCGATGGGTAAGCGCGCAGGGGCGTTCGAATGATCTCAACACGCGCGCGCGAGGGGCCCGCGTGGTCTCAGACAAGCGAGGTGTTGAAGCACACATGGATGTTCTAAGAACTCGCAAGGGCGGGCGCGCAGCCTTGGTTGTAAAGACTGTTGAAGCTTAGTTTCCAGCACGAGCTCGGTCTTGACATGCGTACGGCAACGAAGGTTGTGGAAGGACTTCGGCATGCGCGCGCAGCGACGCACGCGTGGAAGTTGTCGAATCCCACCAGCCCTTTGGGCGTGAGTGGTTTAGCGAGCTCTCTCTGTTCTCAACCCCCCTTCTTCCCTTTCGGGGAGGGGTTTACCCCTCCCCCTACCCTCTCCCCCTGGGCCTGGAGAGGGCGTTCCGCGGGTCGTTGGAGGGGTCTTTTTCGACTCCTGGGAGGGCTAAAATTCGACACCCCTCACGAGGATTCTGGCCCCGACGGGGGGGGGAGAAAAGTGCTCGCCCCATCTGTGATCGATCGCCCGACAGATGGCCCCAAGATTCCTCCCAGACCCCTCCCAAAGAGCCCCCAAGAGGCCTCCAAGAGGCCCCCAAGATGCCCCCAAGAGGCCCCCAAGAGGCCCCAAGAGGCTCCCCCGAGGCACCCAAGACACTCCTGGAAGCCCCTGGAGCCGCCAAGAGGCTCCCAAGAGGCCCGAAGAGGCTCCCCCAAGGCACCCAAGACGCTCCTAGAAGCCCCTGGGGCCGCCATGAGGCCCCCAAGACGCCCCAAAAGGCCTCCAAGAGGCTCCCAAGACTACTACTACTACTACTACTACTACTACTACTACTACTACTACTACTACTACTACTACTATTACTACTACTACTACTACTACTACTACTACTACTACTACTACTACTACTACTACTACTTCTACTCTACTACTACTACTACTACTACTACTACCTACTACTACTACTATACTACTAACTAACGACTACTACGACTACGACTACTACGACTACTACTACTACGACTACTACGACTACTACGAACTACGAACTACTACTACTAATACTACTACTATACTATACTAACTACTACTACTAACTACAACTACTACTACTCTACTAACTACTACTACTACTATCTACTACAACTACTAACTACAACTACTACGACCCTTACTACTACTACCACTACTACTACTACTACTACTACTACTACTTCTACTACTACTACTACCACTACTACTACTACGACTACCACTACCACTACTACTACTACTACTACTACTACTACTACTACTACTACTACTACTACTACTACTACTACTACTACTACTTCTAGTCCCACCAGCCCTTTGGGCGTGAGAGGTTTAGCGAGCTCTCTCTGTTCTCAACCCCCCTTATTCCCCTTCGGGGAGGGGTTTACCCCTCCCCCTACCCCCTCCCCCTGGACCTGGAGAGGGGGTTCGCGGGTGGTCAGAGGGTCCTTTTTCTATCCCTGGGAGGGCTAAAATTCGACACCCCTCACGAGGATCGTGGCCCCGACGGGGGTACTGACAAAAATGCTCGCCCCATCTGTGATCGATCGCCCCAGAGATGGCCCCAACAGGCCCCGAAGACGCTCCAAGAGGCGCCCAAGAGGGCCCCCGGACGCTCCCAAGAGGCTCAAAAGAGAGCCCAAGAGGCCCCTCTACGATCTCGAAGAGGCCTCCAAACTGCTTTGGATACGACTACTTGTACTACTACTACTACTACTACCACTACTACTACTACTACTACTACTACTACTACTACTACTACTACTACTACTACTACTACTACATTTCCCACCACTACTACTACTACTACTACTACTACTACTACTACTACTACTACTACTACTACTTCTACTCCATATACTGCGTCGACTGCGTCTACTACTACTACTACTACCACTACTACTACTACTACTACGACTACTACTACTACTTACTCACTACTACTACTCACTACCTACCACTAACTACTACCATACCAACTACTAACATTACACTACTAACTGCCTACACTACTACTACTAATACTACTACCGTTACTGCTGCTGCTGCTGCTGCTACTGCAGCTACGACTACTACTTCTACTACAACAACAACTTCTACTATCACTACACTAACTACTACTACTACAACTACTCACTACAACTACTACTACAACTACTACTACTACGAACCTACTAACTACTACTACTACGACTACTACGACTACTACTACTAAAACTACTACTACTACTACTACTAATACAACAACTACTACTACTAACTACTACTACTACTACTACTACTACTACTACTACTACTACTACAACTACTACTCTACAACTACTACTCCTACTACTATACTACTACTACTACTACTACTACTACTACTACTACTACTACTACTACTACTACTACTACTACTACTACTACTACTACTACTACTACTACTACTACTACTACTACTACTACTACTACTACTACTACTACTACTACTACTACTACTACTACTACTACTACTACTACTACTACTACTACTACTACTACTACTACTACTACTACTACTACTACTACTACTACTACTACTACTACTACTACTACTACTACGAGGGGACCGAACGACTCGCACCAGGACGAGGTGCCCGAACGCCTCACACCACGAGGAGCCCGAACGACTCACACCAGGACGAGGGGCCCGAACGACTCACACCACGAAGAGCCCGAACGACTCACACCAGGAAGGAGGGGCCCGAACGACTCACACCAGGACGAGGCGCCCGAACGACTCACACCACGAGGAGCCCGAACGACTCACACCACGACGAGGGCCCCGAACGACTCACACCACGAGGAGCCCGAACGAGTCACACCAGGAGGAGGGGCCCGAACGACTCACACCAGGACGAGGGGCCCGAACAACTCACACCACGAGAAGCCCGAACGACTCACACCAGGACGAAGAGCCCGAACGACTCACACCACGAAGAGCCCGAACGACTCACACCAGGAAGAAGGGCCCGAACGACTCACACCAGGACGAGAGGCCCGAACGACTCAAACCACGAGGAGCCCGAACGGCTCGCACCAGGACGAGGGGCCCGAACGACTCACACCACGAGGAGCCCGAACGACTCACACCAGGAAGAGGGGCCCGAAGGACTCACACAAGGACGATGGGGCCGAACGACTCACCCCACGAGGGGCCCCAACGACTCCCACCAGTCGTCGTCGTCGTCGTCGTCGTCGTCGTCGCCGCCGCCTTCGTCGTCGTCGTCGTCGACGTCGTCGTCGTCGTCGTCGTCGTCGCGTTGTGGTCGTCGTCGTCGTCGCGGTCGATATCGTCGTCGTCGTCGGGTGCGTCGTCGTTGTTAGGATCATCGCTGTGGTCGTCGTCTCCGCTAAATCCCTCTTGCCTCCCACCGCTTTCTCTCCCTCCTCCTCCGCCTCGTCCTTCTCCCGCTCCCACCACAAGGAGGATGTACAAGGAGGCGGGAGGAAGGAGGAACAGGGAAGATATGCGGGGGCAGGCGGAAACACGCCTGAAAAACACGACTGTCGGCATGCTTCGCAAGACTTGCTGTTTTGAGATGGGCTGGTGGGGATACGCGAAGCGTGAAGAATTGTTGGCAAGGGGTTATTGGAATGTGATCTTTTGTGATTCACGCATCCTATTATTTGACAAGGATGGGGGGGATGGGGTTATGACCGGACTCTCTGCAAAATGAACGATGAAGCATAATCATATATAACTTGCTGTCCCAGGGGGCACCGATAAGTCCGAGGCGAGAGGATGGTAATGTCGATTACTTTTATAGGCATGGGAACCCAGGTGGTGCAATGAATGTAGCGCAATCTAGATTGATGCAATCCATGTGGTGCAATCCATGCGGCGCAAATCCATGCAAAGCCGTGCAAAGCAATGCACGCCAGTGCCCAGCAATGCAACGCGATGCAACGCAATGCAGAGCAATGCCAGGTAATGTAAAGCAAGGCACATCAATGAAGCACTATGCAAAGCAATGCATTGCAATGCAGAGCAACGCACAGCCATGCAACGCTTGGCAAAGCAAGTCAAAGCAATGCAAAACAATGCAAAACAATAGCGACGCTAAGCAATGCAAATCAATGCAAAGTAGCGCAAAGTCGTGCAGGGCAGTGCAAAGCCACATCAAGGCAAAGCAATGCAAAGCAACGCAAAGCAAGGCAAGACAACTCAAAAAAGGTGCAAAGCAACGCAAAGCAACGCAAAGGAATGCAAAGCGATGCAACGCAATGCAAAACAACGTAAATCTATAGATCATGCGATGCAGCACAATGCCAAGCAACACAAAGAACTGCAAAGCGATGCGAAGCAATACGACGCAATGCAAAGCAATGCAAAAGGATTGCAATGGAATGCAAAGCAACGCAAAGCAATGCGACAAGCGGCAACAGCGGCGACGAGCCGCGACGAGGGGGGACGAGTCGGCTGGGTGGGTACTGGGGCTCAGCTGCCAGCGGCGACGGCGGCGGCGACTGGCGGCGACGAGGCGGCCGGGGCGGCACCGAAGCTCAACTACTTCAGAAGGCAAGTGAGGACTCCTAAGCGCAAGTGCTGCTCGGGGAAGAACTCCTCCCTGTCCTACCCACAGACGTGTCGGTAGTGCAGGCCACGGGGTTCGATTGGGACTTCCTCACAATGTATGATCACCTTCGTCTTCAAATGTTTTCACACTTTCAAGGATGGAAGGCAACAGGTTTTCGAACATGTGGTCCTCACTGTGGGGTAGGAAGGCGAAACCTATACTTTTCGAGGCGAATCCCCGGAAATCCAAAGCGAAACACGAACATCGAAAAGAAGCGAATCCCGAAAAATCCCCCACAGGCGACACCCGAAACTCCGACCAAACCCAAACCCAAAAATCCGAGAGGGGCCAAGCCGAACACTCCAATTCAGACCAGTCCCACCTCACCTCTCCTCATTCGTCATTCCGCCCCCCTCCTTCCCTCTCCTCGTCCGGCCAGCATCTCTCCTCCTCGCTCGTCCCTCCACTCAGCCTGCGGCAACGCCTGCGTGGCGGAAATTGAAACTACTCCACTGTACTCGCCACGTGGCAAACGCGTGGGAGGCGAACGAATGTGCTACTCCACTCTCCTCGCACCGTGGCAACGCCTGCGCGACATGCGAAGTGCCAGGTGGAAGCGACTCTGGAGCGAAACATAAACTACTCCACCCCACGACTCGGCCTGCGAAGCGGAACACTTATTGTTTCACTCTACCCGCCACGTGGCCGCACTGGGGAAGCGACACAACGCTCCGGAAGGGGGGACTTATACTACTCAACTGTACGTACCATGTGGCAGCGCCTGCGGGGCGAACCAGAGTATCTCCACTCTACAAGGTCCGTGGCAACGAAGCAGGGTGGCGACAACTGATACTACTCTCTACTCGCTACATGGCAGCGCCACGTGGCAAGGCCTGAGAGGTAAACGAAAATACCATCCCACTCACTCGCCACGTGGCAACAACATTCGGAGCGAACAACAAATACAAGTCCAACCAACTCATCACGTGGCAATGCCGCGCGACGACGACGACGACGACGACAGACGAGGACGAGGACGACGACGACGACGACACGAGACGATGACGACGACAACGACGACAACGACGACCACAACGACCACAGACGACGATGACGACGATGGACGAAGACGACAACGACGACGACGACGCCGACGGGGACGACGACGACGACGACGACGACGACGACGACGACGACAATGACGACGACAACGTTGACGACGACGACGAGGACGACGACTCCGCCCGACCGCCCGCCTGCCCGCCAAACCACCAGCCCGCGGGCCCGCCCACCAACGCGCGCGCCCGCTCGCATGCCCGCCCGCCATGCCCCGCCCGTCATGCCCGCCAGCCCGCCCGCAAGCTCGCCCGCCTGGTCGCCCGCCGGCCCGCCCGCGCGCCCGTTCACCCTTCCGTCATCCTCCTCCCGCACTCGCTCCCCCGAGGCGGCCATCGAACCGAGTCTGGGCGATCAGGCGCACGGCAGGAAAACTTCTTCCCCATCACCCCCCCCCCTCCTCCACTGAGCCATCGATTTCCTTCCTCCTCCCCTTCCGCATCCCCCCCTTCCACCACTGTGCCGACGCACTGATCACCCCAGGGAGTCCTGAGAACCGACATCCTCTTCCTCCTCCTCCTCCTCCTCCTCCTCCTCCTCCTCCTCCTCCTCCTCCTCCTCCTCCTCCTAGCCGTTTCGGGGCGAGCACGAGGCTCGCTCGTGCGGGTGCATACTTCGAAGCGGCGTGCCCCCGCGGGCCGATGGCGAATGGTGCTGCTGGAGGCGCACGCGGCGCCAGCCAGGGTGGCGACCCCTGGACGTGCAACGCGTGTGCAGCTGGCTACAGCAACATGGCGTGGCGCACGGTGTGCAGGCTCTGCCAGGCGGCGCGGCCGCCGAGAGGCGCTGGCACGATCGGCGACGCCATCGACAAGGCCAAGGAGGTCAAGGCCAAGGGGAAGGCGAAGGCCGTGGCGAAGCGGGTGCGGTTCGCCTCGGATGGGCCTGGCCCGTCCGCCGCCGCGGCCACGCCGGCGCCGTGGGCGCAGGGCGCGGCCAAGCAGGCGGCCGTGGAGAAGCCCAGCAGCGGCGGCGGCAAGGACGAGGAGGTCCGCCTGACCCTCCTCCGTCACTTTGGCCCCAGGGAGGGCTGGTCGGCGGCCCTGGTCCAGGACTGCGGGGCCCTGGTGCCCGAGGCCGACGTGCCGCCGCCTGCGAAGCCCTTGGCCGAGCTGTTTCTCCAGGCCCTCCTGGCCATGGAGGCGAAGGTCAAGGGCCAGGTCGGCCGTGCCGAGACCATGCTGGCGGCGGCCAAGGAGGAGCAGGAGGCTGCCGCGGCGCGCGTGGCGGAGCAGGAGGGCGTCCTCCAGAAGCGCCGTGACCAGCTGGAGGAGGTGGCCGAGGCGGTGCGCGCCAGGAAGCGCGCCGACCTGGCGCAGCACACAGGCCCGTCGCCCATGGAGGTGGGCGAGCCCGAGGAGACGGGCGACCTGGGCAAGGCGTTGCTCAAGAGCCTCGAGGGCCTCGAGGCGGAGCGGGAGCGGGTGTTGCAGCTCGGGGAGGACGGCGACGCCCTGCTCGCGATGGCCGCGGAGGCCCGCTGCCTCGTGGAGAAGCTCGCTGCCGCCGACGCCCGCGCCCGCGAGGCAGCGGCGGCCGAGCGTGCCCGTGCGGCCGCTGCTGCCGCCGAGCGAGCCGCCGCCGCGCAGGAGGCCGCCCCCGCGGCCGCTGGCGAGGTGGATGGCGCTGCTGGTCCTCCTGGAGACCGCAAGCGCGTTGGTGACCTCGGCCTGGGCCCAGAGCTCGACGGGCTTGATGCCTTGTTCGACGAGGTCGGCATGGAGGACGAGCAGCAGCGGGAGGCCTGGCGCGCAGCGTTGGCCAAGCGCCAGCGAGTGGCAGGCCCAGCCTCAGGGCAGCCGCCCGCAGGCGGTGGACGTGGTGGAGCTGGTGCCGGCCAATGCCACCGCGTGGGGCTCCGCGCAATCGCTGGTCGAGTGGCTGCACGACGGCGTGGGGCGGCTGCCCGAGGTGCTCTGCCTCCAGGAGCACCGCCTCAAGGGCAAGCAGGCGGTGGCCCGCGCTGCGGGCTGGATGCAGGCGCGCGGCTTCAGCTGGCACGGCCAGGCCGCGGTGGCGACGGGCCCTGGGCCGCTGGAGGGCTCGGGAGGTGTGGCTGTGGCCACGCTGCGGCCGTCTGCGGCAGTCGTGACGCCAGGGCTCCCAGCCCATCGGTTCCAGGTGTGCGAGGTGAACCTGGGATTCAGGGAGCCGTGCTGCATCATCTCGTCCTACTTCATCACGAAGATAGGCAGGGCGAAGGAGAACATCGGGCTCATGGCGGCGCTGCTCGAGTACTTCGGGCAGCTGGAGTCGCCGTGGCTGGTGATGGGTGACTGGAACATGGAGCCCGAGGACGTCCGAGAGCGGGCACGCAGCGCGGGCGCTGCCCTTGTCGCCCCAGGGGGGCCGACCTGCGGCTCGAAGGTATTCGACTTCGCTGTCGTTAGCCAGGTCCTCACGGGCTTCGTGGAGACGGTGGAGGTGCTGCTGCAGGCGCCGACGAAGGACCACGTGCCACTGAGGGTGGTGCTTCGCGGCGTAGGGCCAGCGGCGAGGGTGCAGCGGCCGCTGTTCCCAGCCGCCTCCCCGCTGCCGCTTCCGCCGCCAGCCAGGCCAGCGCCGCGTGAGCGTGGGTTCTCTGCCTGGAGCCCAGGAGGGGAGCAGCCGCTCAAGGTCGGCTGCCAGGAGTGGTTTGAGGCGGTGGAGGCCTACCTGATCGACCTCCACGAGATCGTGCCGCCCAGCCGTTGGAAAGGACGGGCTGACGGGCTGCGCACGCAGAAGGTCATGATGGAGGTGGCCTGGAAGCAGGACCTCAAGAGGAGTGTTGGCGCGGCGTGCAGACGCTGGATGTCGTTTGCGGCGGCGTGCCCCCGCTGGCGTGCGCTGCAGGAGGCGGCGCCATGAGGTCGCTGCGCGGCGCCGCTGCGCAAGCAGCGTCAGGTGCTGGAGGCGTTCGAGCTCGAGTGGCCCGATGACGGCCCGCTCGCTGGGCTGTCGGTCGCCCGCGTTGTCGGCCTGCTCAGTACCTCATCGTGCAAGCTGACGGTGCAGTTCGCCCAGGAGGAGGCGAGGCGGCGCTGGATGCAGGACAAGCAGCGGAGGGCTGCTGAGTGGCGCGCCTGGGCCCAGGCTGCTGCCACTGAGGGGGGCGGCTCGGCGGCCTACCGCTTCATCTAGCAGGTCACGGCGCTGCCCACGGTGGTGCACGCGGGCGCAGATGGCGACGATGGCCCGCGCATGCCCGTAGCAGGCGAGGCCGCGGTGGCTGCGCTGCTGAAGGCATGGCAGCCCCTCTGGATCAAGCCGTCGCGCGCTGGCGAGGTGGCGCCCGAGGACTGGGACATCCAGGAGTCGGTGCTGCCGCCGCTGGAGCTCGAGGATCTGGAGCGGGTCCTGGGCACCTACCGCGAGGGGTGCGGCCTCGGCTGGGATAGGCTCCACCCGAAGCAGCTGCTGCGCCTCCCGCGGTCCTACAGGGAGCGCTTCCTGGAGCTCCTCCAGGCCTGGGAGCGGAGGCCCACGCGGGAGGCGCTGTGGCAGCTGGTTGTGGTGTTCATCCCCAAGGCGACTGGAGGCCAGCGGCCGATCGGCCTCACGGCCACCTGGCTGAGGGCGTGGAGCAGGATGCGACAGCCGCTGGTGGCCCGCTGGGAGGCCTCGCTGCAGAACCCCGCCTTCTGGGGCACGTCGGAGTGCCCGTGCGAGCGCGCAGGAGTGGTGCACAACCTCCTGGCGGCCTTCGCTCGCAGCAGGGGCCTCTCGGCGGCAACTGGAGTCACCGACCTGGCGAAGTTCTACGAGCATGTCAGTCACGAGGAGCTGCGCGTGCAGGCGGTCGCCACGGGCTTCCCGCTCGCGCTGCTGCGGTGCTACTGCGTGTCGTACTGTACGCAACGGTGCGTGTCGTGGTGCGGCTCAGTCTCCAAGCCGTTCGAGGCGAACGGCACCATTGTGGCGGGATGCAGTGGGGCGGTCGGACTGGCCAAGCTGCTGGTGCATACCCTCTTCGCGAAGATCATGCGTGGGAACCCTGTGGTCCGCCTGCAGAACGTCGTGGACGACGTTCTGCTGCAGGCGGTCGGCGGCGAGGCTCAGGTGGTGCAGCAGCTACCCAGGGCCATGGCTGCCCTCATCGAGGGCCTGGTCGCCAAGGGGCTGGTCATCTCGGAGGCGAAGACGGGCTACCTGGTGAACAGCGAGGACCTGGGCGACGCGCTGGACGGCTGCTGGGCGCACGGGCCGCTGGCCCGCTGGACAGGAGCCCGCTGCCTGGGCGGAGACGCCACCGACGGGCGCTGGAGGCGCGTGGGCGAGCAGGACGCGCGGCTTGGCCGCGCGGCGGCGGTCAGTGCGCGGGCGCGCCAGCTGCGCGGCGCTGGCGCGCGGGTGGGCCACGTCCAGAGGGGGGGGGCCCACTGCCACCGCTGTCTGGGGCTCCGCCGTGACGGGCCTCGCCTGCGGGAAGCTCCACGGCCTGCGGGTCGCCGCCATGCGCGCGGAGGGCAAGCTGCCCATGGGCGCCAGCGTTGGCCTGCGGCTGCGGGCCCAGCAAGGCGCCGCCTACCGAGACCCCTTCGTGGTGCACGCGGTGGAGGTGGCACGCTCCTGGGGCATGACGCTGGAGACGGGCCTGCCCAGTGCCGCGGCGGTGCAGGAGTGCTGGTGCGGGGCGCAAGGCCTGCTGGAGCTGCGCCGCCCCTGGGGGCAGTGCCGAGACCCTGCACAGGCGCGTGCACTGGCTCTGAGGCGGGTCGGCTGCGAGATGGCGGCCTTCAATGCCGTCATCGACTGGCAGGCGCGGGTCTTCTCGCTGGAGTTCTTCTCGCCAGGCATGCTGGTGCAGGTGGTGCGCGCGTCGGCGCTGCTGGCCTCGGATGCGCTCGCGCTGCAGCGGTTGCGCGGGCCTGGCGCCTGGGCATGGCCTGTGAACTGGAAGGGGCTGGAGCGCCTCCTCCGCGTGAGCCGCCGCCCCGAGGGGCAGGCCTCCGCTGAGGCTGCCCCTGGCCCAGGCCGCCAGGGGCCCGCGCGGCCGCCGCCGCTCTGGCAGGCCCGTCACAGGCGCGCGCTCGTGGCGGTCCTCGGCGGCGCCCACTGGCCGCAGGAGCGGCTCTGGAAGGAGGGCAAGGCGCTCGACGGCCGCTGCTGCCTGTGTGGAGGCAGAGGCACGCTGCGGCACAGGGCCTTCGAGTGCGACGCCCGGCAGCCGCTGCGGAGGGAGGCGCGCTCGCCCGAGCTGCTGGAAGGGGCAAGGCTGGTGGCGCAGCGCGGGGATGCCGCGGCGGAGCTCTTCGCGCGTGCGCTATGCCCCGACCCTGCCCCTGCCTTCCCCGCGGCGGCAGACGCTGCGCTCGCGGCCCCGCGCTGGTTCGGCGTGCCGCCAGGCTCGAAGTTCGCGGGCAGGGTCTTCGTGGATGGCAGCGCCAGGTTCCCCGCGCTGCGAGGGGCACGCCGCGCTGGCTGGGCCGTGGTGCAGATCGGCCTCGGCGGGGAAGTCATAGGCGGGATGCACGGCATCGCCCCGTGGAAGTACGGACCCGAGCAGGAGGCCAGGGGCGGCGAGGACTACGCGTTCCACATGCTGGCCCAGTACTGGCAGGCGTCGGACGACGGCGCGGGCCTCGAGGTCTTCTGCGACTGTGCTGGCACGGTCGGCCTGGCGCCTTCGCGGGGCAAGGCCCTCGCGCCGCTGCAGGCGCGCCGCCACCTGTGGCAGGAGTGGTGGGCGGGGCCTGGCCTGACGGCCACAGTGCGCAAGGTCAAGGCGCACAAGGCGCTTGCCGCGGCGTCCAGCTGGGAGGGGGAGCTCATGATCAAGGGCAACAGGGCAGCCGACCTGTGGGCCAAGAGGGGCGCCGCCCTGTGGCCGATCGACGAGGAGCTGGTCTGGTTCCTCCAGGCGTGCGCCTGGCGTGCGGAGGAGCTCGGGCGCTGGATCGGCGAGCTGGCCGCCACCATGGTGGACCGCGAGCAGCTGGACTCCGACGGGGTGGTTGGCACAGCCGACCTCGTATACGACATCCCGCAGGAGGCGCTGGACGCGGCGGAGCAGGCCGACGAGGAGGTGGCGGCGGCGGCGCTCGAGGCCGAGCTCGTGCATGGCCAGGCTCCTGCTGCTGGTGCTGGGGCTGCTACAGGCGCGGAGCTCGGCCAGCCACCCGACGCCGCCGCCGAGGCCGCCGCCGTCGAGCTCGAGGGCGCTGCGGCAGCCGCCCCCGAGCTGCAGGCAGCGGTGGCAGGAGCAGGCGTGGCGCGGGAGGTGCGAGGGCACTGCATCGTCGTCTCTCGCCTGGAGAACGGCGACGGGGCCATGGCCTGGTGCCTGAAGTGTGGCTGCCGTTTCTGGAAGAGGTCCCCTCCTGCAGGGACTGGCCTGCTGGGCAGCTGCAAGGGGCGACCTGCCCCTGGCGAGCGGGCGGCAGAGGCGAGGCGGCTCATGATGCGGCTCCAGGAGCCGAAGAGCAAGGTGCGGCTCCTCGCCCCGCAGGCGCCCACGGCCGAGGAGCAGGCGCGGCTCGCGGCGGTGCTCCGAGGAGTCGCTGGCGAGGCACGCGGCGCAGGGGCCCCCGCTGGGGCTGGGCGGCCGCCGCGCTGGGGGCTGCGGCCAGCCGTGGCAGATGCCTGGCAGGCGGCCGCGCTCCACGGCTTCGCCTCGCGCGCCGCCGCGGCGCGCTGGGCGCAGGCGCGGGTGGAGGCGGGCTGGGAGTCGCCCTTCGGCGACGGTGGCGCGGCGTGACCGCGCTTCGACGGCACCTGGTTTGGCCCGCGGGCAGGGCGCCAGGGGGCCGAACGGAAAAATGGCCAAAAAATGGCCTCCTCCTCCTCCTCCTCCTTCCCCCACTCCTCCTCTTCCTCCTTCTCCTCCTCCTGCTGCTCCTCGTCCTCCTCCCCCCTCCCTCCTCAGGATGTACACTCTGAAACCCGTCATAATTTCTTTGCATTTGACGCACTCGCACAATGCATTACAGTGGATTGCACTGCGTTCCTCTTCCTCCTTCCGCCCCCCTCATCCCCTACTCGTTCGTCCTCCACCTCTACTCATCGCTCGTCCCCGTCCTCCTTGTCCTCCTTCCGATCCTCCCACCTCCTCCTCCTCCTCCTCCTCCTCCTCCTCCTCCTCCTCCTCCTCCTCCTTCTCCGCCTTATCCTCCTCCTCCTCCTCCTCCTCCTCCTCCTCCTCCTCCTCCTCCTCCTCCTCCTCCTCCTTCTCCACCTCTCATGAGGGTAAAAACGACCTCTACCACCAGAACACCATAGAATTCCGTTCCCGAAGGCCGCATCCCCGGAGCTGGTGGCACTCCGTTCCGGGCACTCTCTGGGGACGCGCCCAGAAGGGGGTGCCACCAGCTCGGGGAGGGGGAGCGGCCAGCCGCCCTAGCTGGTGGTAGCGGTTCTCTCTCCTCTGGTGAACCTCCTCGCTTGTCCTCCCACGCTTCCTACCCTCCTCTCCTCCATCCTTCCTTCTCTCTCCTCCCTGCTTCGTCTCGCTTGTCCTCCCCACTGCCTCCTGCCTCCTCCCTCCTCCCTCCCTCCTCCCTCCTCCTTATCGTTCTCCTTGTCCTGCTCCCTCCTCCCTCCCTCCTGCCTCCTCCCTCCTCCCCTCTCCCTCCTCGCTCCTCCCTCCTCCTCACTCGCCCCTCTACTCGGCACGCGGCAACGCCTGCGGCAACGCCTACGGGGCGGAAATTGAAACTATTCCAATTTACTAGATTACTCGTCACGTGGCAAACGCCTGGGGTGGAAATACGTGCTACTCCACTCTCCTCGCGACGTGGTAACGCCTGCGGGAGAGAAAGCAATGCGAGTCCACTCGAATTGTCGGGTGGAAGCGAATGGCAAGCGAAACAAAAACTACTTCACTCCACGACTCGCCACGTGGCACTGCCTGCGGGTCGGAACAAATATCAACTTACCCGACTCGCCACGTGACAACGGGGGAGCGAAACGACTATTTCTCCACTCTCCTCGCCACACGTGAGAGTGCTCGGAGGGGGAAACACGTGCTGCTCCGCTGTGCTCGCCACGTGGCAACGCCTGCGGAGCGAGCGCCCGCGCGCCCGCCCGCCCGCCAGCGCGCTCGCGCGCGCCCGCCGCCTGCCCACCCGTCCGCCCGCCCTCGCGCCCGCCCGCCAGCCCGCCCGCGCGCCCGCCCGTCCGCTCGCCCGCGCGCGCTTGCGCCC